ACTGTCGAAACCAACGCAAGGCGCATGGCCCGTAGCTGGGATCGAACCCGGCATCCCGACATTACGAAGCGTTCGCATCGACTTAGCCACAGAGCCGACAGAACGGCTATGAACGCAACAATTCACACACACACATGTTTTCTGAGTTACTATGAATGTATTTTTTTTTGTTTTGTGTTTTACCAGTAATATTCAAAGCTGGATCCATGCAAAAAGAATGGGTTCAATGATTATAAAAAGAAATACTTCGTACAATCACAGTCTTATATGTACATCGGTTGGCACACTACGCTCAGGGGAAAGACAAGTCGGGCGTACACCCAGACTCCGACTGGCGCCATTAATATTGGAACTCTGCGCTGCCTGCTGAGGATGGAGACGGAGCGGGTATGGGAATGCTCAGAGCGCTGTGATGTCAGTTCTGGACTCAGCTCAACTCATATCGGTACAAAGACATCTTTGTACAAAGCCCAAACCCGGCTGTCGCTGGAGGCCCTTATGTAACTTAAAGGTTGAACGGGGCTTCTGGGAATTGCGCCGTGTAGATTCTCATCTGAATGGTGGCACTTTGTGTCATCGGGTGTTTATCGCTGGTTATCTGGTCTTGGTGGGGTTGAGGGTAGTGTCTCCGTGACGAAGTGCTTAAGCCGTTTGCATCGCGCTCTGAAGGTCGTGGGTTCCCTCCACTGCTGCGCCCTTCAGGTGACGAGTATACATTTTACGGAGATCTCTGGGGATCGTCTCCGGAGCTACGGTGAGATGCTCTCGGCAGGCGGCTAACCGTTCTGCAAAGAGAGACTGGGCCATATGGTATAAAACCCAGAGCAATGAAGTCGATCCTCTCGAAATAAAATAAAAAAATAGAGAAAAAAAAAAAAACAGTACGAGGACATTATCATCACCATCAGGTGCCTTGCCGACTTTCGTTTGCGCTCATGCCTCTCCACAATCCGTGATCTCCTGCAGCATATATTAGTTTGTGTGCTAACACACCTCCATGTCATGCAACAAGACTGTCAAGAATCTTCTCACATTGTCTTCCTCTATCCCTCCTTCCACAGATCTTTACAGTGATTACTACATGTTAAATTGTTCCTCTTCTCATAACGTTACCGAAAAAGTATGACTGTCTCCTTTTGATGTCTGTGATAAGTTGTCTTCGGGCTACCGCCATCCTAGGAAGCGATCTTTCTATGATCAAAATTGACCTAATTAATGTTTTACTAGAGACAACATGTGCTGAACACTCATACATGAGGACAATGATATTTTTCTGACTCAGATGCGAAGTCTGGACATACATCTAGGCCGCTAGAACCCTTTTACGCGCCTTTAGGCGTATTAGGCATAAATGGCTAGATGTATATTTTATAGACCAGTCGGCAGTGGGTGGGTGATATGGTCAATACCACTTCAGCAGCCTTTTGCTTGTAGACATGTCGTCCACAACCTTCTGCCTCATGTACTTTCAATCAGCTCTGAAACAGACCATTCTCCATGCCTTGAGCCATGGTGTCAAACTGTCCAGCATCCTCTCTTTTGGTCCCCATCTGCCTCTCTTCCCCTCCAGCTTTCTCACCCTCACAATGTACTCCAGTTTTCTCCTTCTCGTGACATGACCAAAGAAGGTAGATTCTCTCTCCCTGGACTTTTCCCCGGCAGCCATTTAATCCTGGGTCGACCTGGGTACTACGGTCATTGTTTTTTTTTTTTAATTTTTAAAAGTCCAGCTCCGTCAGGCCCTGAATCCACTACCTCTGAATCCGCAGGCGAGCGTCTAGCAGACACACTAGGCCAGTATCTATGCCACTAGGAGAAGTGTGAAGTCTGTGCAATAGCTCACAGTCACTACATTAATCAATACAGAACAGATGTCGTAAGCGTAAACATAATAATACCCGATATAAGTCAGCATAGCATAAGACATCACAACATCTAGCATGATAATTGATATGGGGGCGGTAACTGTAGCTCTCCGGTGGCTAGAGAACAAGATGAATACACATGTTGTAATTGTGACAGACTCTGAAAGCATGCTGAGAAAGGTGAAGCCAGGGATGCTTCGAGCAGAGGGGCAAGCTTCAATGGGAAGGTCACGGGTAGTGAGCGTACTTTGGATCTTTTCTTTAGGCTATGCCGGCGTAGTGGGTAATAAAAAGGCAGACCGATTGGCTGGATCTGGACAACTGGGTGGTGAATTGATACAAGACAAGGCTGATGTGGTCAAGGCCCTTTGGGAACAAGCAACGGAATTAGTAGAGAAACAAGATTATTTTGACCTGGAGAGAATGAGGCACTTGGGTGTAAACAGAGGGTCTGGTCGGCTCCTACACTCAGAGTAAAGGAAAGATGGACGTACAACCAGATTGTGACCGGTACCATCAGTATTGGAACTCTGCGCTGGCTGCCGAGGATTTGGACGGAGCACGCCTGGGAATGTCCCGAGTGCTATAATGTCAATTCTTGACTCAACTGAACTCAACTAATACACGACATGGGC